CTTCACAATAAAAGCCTCCCACTGGTTTACCAAAAGACAACTTCATCATCATTTTTTGTGGAGCGCTTTGCCCTCTATCAATAACAGTACAGTAATGACATGAAAGTGCAGGTAGAGAGAGAGGAGGGAGATGACATGCAACAAAAGGTCCCCAGCTGAAAGCTAACCAGGGACATTAGTGGTTAATTGCCTACGCCTAAACTCCTCAGTCAACAGGACACCTCTGCAGAAGAAAAACTTTTAATGTAAAGCAGCAGCAGGAAATGTTTGCATCAGCAGTACTTTAAAGGTCTAGTGTGTAGGGTTTAGTGGCATCTAGTGGTGAGGTTGCACATTGCAACCAACTGAGACTTCTCTCGTGTGCCAAGTGTGTCAGAAAACTATGGTGGGCTGATGTGTTAACATGAATAACCCTATCTGGAGCCAGTGTTTGGTTTGTCTGTTATGGACTACTGTAGAAACAACATGGGGGACTCTGTGGTAGAGGACCCGCTTCCTGTGTAGATATAAATGGCTCATTCTAAGGTAACAAAAATATGATTCTTATTTTCAGGTGATTATACACTGATTGAAACATAGCTATGAATATTATATTAATTTCTGTTAATATATCCCTTAAATCCCACACACTAGACCTTTTAATGCAACTCCAATACAGCTGAAATGCTAAGTAAACAGTAATGAGGCTACTATTTTAAAGCAGAATTAGTTTGAAGCTATAAAAAACTGCAAGCTGAACACAGAGAAACTAAAAACAGAGCTTCCTCTCTAGTCACCAACACAGACACACTTGTGATAGGCCGATCCGTTAAGCCCAAGATACAGTTTGTTTGAGGACGGGGAGACGGTCCCCAAGTTTGCCACCATCGGCCCTGGTACCATGTGGGACTATAACAGCATGACTTGGTGCAACTATACCCTGCTGTGGGAACACAGTTGATGTGGAGTGAGCCAGTAAAGTGAAAACATGACGTATGTTCCTATTAGGGGAAATCTGAATGTCCCAACATACAATAACATTTTAGACAAAAGTGTGATTCGATGTTGCAGCAACAGTTTGAGAAGCACTCCTTCCTGTTTTAACATGACAATGTCCCCATGCACAAAGCAGCCAGAGCCCTGACCTCTACTCCATTCAACACCTTGGGAATGAAGTGGAACTTTGAATGTCACTCAGCAACAATAACTGACCTCAATAATGCTCTTGTGGCTGAAAGGGTGCTGTCATAGCAGTGTCGATAGCTTTGGAGTGAGAGGTTCTTAAACACATATGGGTGTTTTTATAATCTCTTTGCTTACTTTTGGTCATGAGGTGTGTGTTTCATCCTAGTAATGACACAAAGTAAGGCGATGCAAGGGATGCTGTACATACATAGTAAGGAGTTGTGCTGAAATGTGGGGAATGTTCCTGTCTGTATTCGAGTGGAGAGGTGCAATGCCTCCACTGCTTGAGCTGGTGAAACAAAGACTGACAGCACTGAGTGACTCAAACCAATGGCTCTCATCCAGAGTGTAATTTGTCCAGACGTACACTGGGGCTTCTCCTAATCTCTGATGCTAGACCCACTGCTTGATTTTTCATCAAGCAGCATTATCTTTGCCCGCCAGGAAATGAGACACATGCTGCAACGTCTGCAGAGGAAAATCCCAAATCAGAAAGTTGACCCCTTACAACAAGTGCACACGAGCAAATGCCTACACACGCGGACACGCACATAAACACAAGAACGCCATTCTCGGGAGATGGTGGCAATTCATTTTGTAAGATCTAACAGAACTAATTTTGGGAGTGAGCCTCTGTTAATGAGTGGCTCTTTGATGTGTAAATCCTCGGGTCCCAGTGCAAAGCTGATACAGTCTCCCCACAATCCTGCTCAGGTGCAGCCCTGTTCCCCTCTGCAGTACTTATCTTGTGCACCGAATACTGTAACACTTCTGACAGCCTCACTAAAAAAAAAACAATAGAAGAGGAAAATAAGCACATTGACGAATGCCATTGGCAAAAGGATGCCGTGATGCGTAGAGTTGTGCTGCATCTCCTCTATCTTCATACTGTATATGTCATTCCTGTTTCTATTTTCACTCTCCCATGGACATCAGACACCGATGATAAAATTATTTTTTACGCCGTAAATGTAAGTCTTTGGTTCGTTTCATTTCTCTATTGCTTCTCCACAGAATAATTGGATTGTGGCTGCACTGTCATGTACTCAGTGAAATGAATGCCTATTAATCAGAGGATAATTGGACACATACTCCTGATAAATGGTGCTGCTCTACTTTGAGTCACGTACAAATTAGGCCATTTTAAGGGATCCATTTCTTATCTGGCTTGACTCATGCTTATATAAGATGTGAGCTAATACTGGTGGACGGAATTACAGATGCACCAAGTCATGGAGTCATGCCCAAAATGAGATTACTTGATTTTAGTTGATTTTTCCTTCCCTCTGTAATGTGAACTACTGGTTCTGGGTGACATCACAAAATATACTACGTGAACAGAAATATAGTTTTTAACCTCTTTTAAAACCACTTTGCTACCATTGATAAAACTTGTGAAGGAAATATTAACTGCAACAGAAAATAGTGAATATACCATGGGGGCATAAAAGCAGTTGACACTATTGACCATGGCTTACAGTTTACTAGTAGAGGGATTTCACACTCCTGATTAAGTATCTAACTTATACATAGGTATTAATATCTTCAAATGACTCATATAAAATGTCTAGTGTGTAGGATCTAGTGGTGAAGTGCAAAACTGAAACTTCTCCTATGTGCCAATTGTGTAACAGAACTACAGTGGCCAAGGGAAAAACATGAATGGTCCTATCTTGTGCCACTGTTTGGTTTGTCCCTTCTGGGTGACTGTAGCACAACACGATGGACTCCATGCAAGAGAACCCGCTCCATGTATAGATATAAATGGCTCTAAGGTTACAAAAATATGATTCTTATTTTCATGTGAATATAAACTAATAAAAACATAGGTATAAATATTATGTACCATTTATGCAAATATATGCCCCTAAATGCTACAAACTGAACCTTTCATTTAATTTTTGAAGGTTACTTTTGGGTTTCCTCAAGGCTCAATGATAGAACCACTATTGTTTATTTTACAAAAAAAATAAAATAAAAAATACAAATACTAAAACAGTGAAATCCATGTTTTTTCATTGGATTTAGGATTATTGCAGAAAATAAGCTCTGTGGCAAACAAGCGTTTATGATACATACATGTTTTTCCAACAAGACAATCTTCACAATGTAAAAGAATTAAAGAGCTAACGTTAGGCTATAAATGATCTACACCACAGTCTCTTGACGTAACGCCAACCCCACAGCGAAGCTCAAAAGCCATGTTCGGCGTGATGACATTCTGTAATTTCATTTGACCCCTTGTTAGTAGCAGTATCTTTTAAGACACCTAAATGCTTCAAAATTCCCAAGTGGGATATTTACTGACATGTTTTAGGTTGTAGAAAAAAACTGAAAGTCTCTTAAGCTTGTGTTGACCACAGGTCTTATTTTAAGCATTTAACCAAGAGCCCATTTAAAAAGCCCATTGACTTTAAGACGAGGGGACCCACAGTGCTAAAATGCTACTGTAACACATTTCTTGGTTTTAGGACTAATTCCTGGGGCACTCTATGTTGATTTGAATGAGAATGTCCATTCTGCTGTTGCTATATTTCTATGCTACTGTACTACTTCACTTACTGTGTTCAAGTATGGGTAATTACTTATAAAAGAAATACAAATCCAATTGTATACTACCAAAAAGGTAAATTTATTTCTTAACAGGAGTAGCGAGGATCTGAACCTGTAGCACACTTTGTAGCTTTAAAATTGAATATAATGGACAAATGGAAAAATGTATGATAAGAAGATAAGCAATATGTTGATTTTCATTGAGAGAAATTATTATTCTTTTTATGTTTTTTCACCTCTTTTAATCACAATTTTAATGTTTAATTCTTTACAGAATAAAAAAAAAATCAAATGATAGACACTGCTGTCTTAAGATAAAAATATCTAATGGGTTTTGAACAAAAAAAAAAAAGCCTTCTGATCTGCTTTGTAAGTGAAAAAACAAACACTACAGATACACTCCAGAGATTTGTTTATTATGTAGCCACTGCTGCTAGGCTGTCAGTGACATCTAAAAGATTAGCATGGTTTGCTAAATTATATAACTGATAAATTATGGTCTCTTCAGCAGTGAAATACCTTTAAGGTTTACACATGACACGCTTTACTTTTAAACAAGATACTGAGATACTGTTAATATTGCATAATTGACACTCCTACCAACCAACATTCCTCCTCCACTCACACTCCCGGTTATCATTAATAACAACCCGACCCCCTGTATGATAATTAATGCATAATGAGATATATGCTGTGACAATGACTACCACTTGACATATATCTCGCCTGGAGGATTAAAGCAGTGTTATTACACTTTCTGTCACTCAGTCCCGAGCACCGCTGAAACCCTCGCGCTCCCCTCATCTGTTTCATACTAAAAGAGTGTGATCAGCTAATGAGTTTCTTTGGCCTCCAATTAATCATGCTAATGAGCCCCACCCAGCAAAGATAATCAACTACTATCACCATAAAAGCCTATAAGGGAAGAGTTTGGAGCTTCACTTGTGAAACATGCTTGCGTCTCTGCCTCCACTCTCCTCATCCTAATCCTCTTTCTTGATACATTTCCCTTTTTTCTTCTCTTCCCTGCCTCTCGCTTTTTATCTGCTCCTCTCTGCCCTTCAGAGCTCCTTATCGTCCTCTCTGCTCCTTTCCACGCTCCTCTTTTCTCAATCTTCTTTTCCATTCCACTTTTTTCACATCCCTCTCTAGTTTCTGCTTCTTCAACATCTCTCCATCTTCTCTCTTCCATTTTCATCCCCTGCTCCTGCCTCCTTTCCTCTCCTGTTTTTTTCCCCACAGTCCTGTCCTCCCTACACCCGAGAAACCAGCTATAAACTCACCAGTACTCTTTCCACTGTTCATCCTCAAAAACGTCCTCTGGGATGGGATCAATCAGCACCAGGTCTGACACTTGCCTGAGGACAAAGAGAGGACACACACTCAGATGAAGCAAGACTCATTGACTACCCTTGTCCACTTTACCCTCCTGGCCCAGGCCGTAATGAGTGTGAGATGGATGGTGTCATCCCGTCTGTCTTCCTGTAGATTTGTCGGTCCTCTGTCCCCACAGACAGATGACCACACATCAGCTACACCAGTTCCAGGGGCAATATTTCCATTTGGAAAGGTGTCATCCACTCACCACTACTTAATTTTCTCCCTTAACGGCAGCAGCATCATGCCTGATTAAATACTAAATCTTTCATCCCTGGTACGGGCTACTTGTCACGTTAATCACTACGTTAACTCTGAGATGGCTGAGTTATGGGGGATGATGGGAATGGACACTGGAATATATTTCTTTAAGTGTGACTTTGGGAGGCACTGTAAACCATATTATATATATGCAGTATGCAGTGCCTCCCAAACTCACCAGCTCTATTAGGTAGAGATCAATTCACTGATTGGTTAGACACATAAAGAATATGTCTGGTATATCATTATATCAACAAATCCAATCAAAAAGCATTAAAAACATCAATGAGCCACTCTGTTGCATTGGGTGACATGTTCCTTCATTACCATGACCACACACACTTAAGTTTATTCAACCTCACATACACCATCCTGCTGCCAGAAATACACAGGCTTAGGCTGTGGCTCTGTCTGAAACAGAGAATGAAGCTCAGGCTGAGCCTGTGTCGTGTCCTATGGCTTAGGCTCTGGGCACAGGCTCAGCCAGAGCCTAAGTCACAGGACACGTCACAGGCTCAGCCAAAGCTTCACTCGCTGTTTCAGCCTCAGTCATCCTCCATTCAGACACCTACCTATGTAATGTAGATCTGTCTGATCTACTTGATCTGTTCTGATCAGTCACACATGCAAACGTGTTGAGGGTGAGGTTGAAGCAATACAAACAATTCCTCAAAATCCTCCCAGATCCATCTTCTTACAATTGCTTTACATTCTAAATAAAAATGTGAATACTGGGGTGTCGGTAGCATAGTGGATAGTGCCGGCGCCCCATGTACAGAGGCATTGCCTCACTGCAGCGGCTGCAGGTTCGAATCCGGCTCGCAGCCCCTTGCTGCATGTCAGTCCCCACTCTCTCTCTGTCTCCCCATTTCACTCTCTGTCCTGTCAATAAAGGCAAAAAGCCCATATAAATAATCTTAAAAACAAAAAAAAGTGAATACTTTCATTTTACTTGTTGTTTTATTCTAAACTTATGTTATGACAATGTTATGAAATTTGGACTCTACGTGCTCAAATTTTAAATTAATGTTGTTAAACAAAATACTGAACTGAAATAAACAGAGAAAAAAATTTCCAAAACTTTAAGCTGCCATTGTTTGTTTTAATCTGATCGGTCCACCTTTAGTTCACCTCAGACCTTCGGATGACGACAGTCTACACTACACCTTGAAAATGTCTGCCTTAACACAGCTGACACAATAAAACACATATGTTTAATATAATATATCAGTATTTTCTCAGTAACGAGTGCAACAAATGGTATTTTAGCATATTTTAGGTTTAACCGTCTGCCTGTGTTGTATGTTAAAGCATTTTTCTTTCATTTATATAAAACAGACTCTAAACCGATTGACTTTGCATTAACCACATTTTTATAAGTTATTTAAACCAAATTTAAGAGCAGAGCCGCTCCTGAAGTGTTAGAGCACTAATGCATTATAGCTGCCTGAAGAGTAAACAGTTTTAAATAAGCAGTTTTATAGATGTAATTTGGCACAAAGTTACAAATTGCAGTTTTGTAAAGTTAGGGGACTCATAAGATACAGATAATAACAAGGCTCCTCAGGAGCCATAGATGATATTATACAACTCCTTTCACAGGCTGAGTAGTACCCGTCATGACAAGACCTTTATGCGTATAAATTGTATTTTCATGAAACAATACTTACACATCATGAATGTGGCTGTAAAACCTGCCATTGAGTGTGCCAAGCTCAGAGCCCACCAGGATGAAGGGCTTGGCTAATCCAGCAGCCTGCAGGAGTCGGTGCAGATCATCCACCATCCTGGAAAACAGCAACACTCATTTGTCTCGGCACAAAACCAGGACGAGCTGCAAACTGGGCCAGCAGGTTTATTTATTCAGCTAGGTGGGACTAGGTCTCATCATTAATCTCATTAATTTCTAATCTACTTGTTCAAAGGTTTATCAGGAGTCATATTGAAAAGCAAAGATAACCTAAGAGGAAAATTAGAGTTACTAAAAAGAGACACAAAAATAAACTGCAATGCTAAAACCCAAATGACTGCATAAAGGAGGGGACTGCTGGCTCCTTTTTACTGCAACACACAGGAAAAAAACAATCACAAGCAAACTTCTATCATCGGAGGGAGCATCATCATTACATGAGATGCAGCAGCTCCTCTCTGAGAGCCATCTGCTGTCCTGGGTTTGTTGTGCTAATAAATCAAACCAGATGTGTCACACTGAAATGAAGAGTTTTCACAAGACTCCCAGGGTTAAGGTTAGGTAGTCATCAAACTCCTTGAGATATTGAATTCTGGGATATTGATTGCTTGCATCCCAAATGGGCAGCTGCCTGCGTCCTGGGCCAGATGCCAAGGTAAACTAGACTGCTGACCACCGGTGAACGACACCAGCTCATCCCTGAGGCAGATTTAAGGTTTGACAAACATGTTATGATGTCAAATGCAAGAAGATTAGAACCCGATCCCACGACAGTGTGAGGCTGGGCAGAGCTATGGTGTGTTCAGCAGGGGAAGGAACTCAGTGTCCACATATCAGTCTGTGCTGGCTGCAACATGAATGAGAAATCCCAAACGGCCACTTCATCATGGAAATATTGAACTCCAGTGGATAATTACTGTGCAGTGGTAAATAATGCAAAAGTGAATGTGATGTGTGTTACTGCACTGAGTGTGGTGTAGCTCTAGGGTTGGTCTGTAGCTTGTGTGACAGTCTGATAGATCTATTGCAGAAACAATTAACTGATCAATGGAAAATCAATCAACATACTCACAATAACGATGCTAGCATGCTAATGTTAAACAGGCATTATTTTACTATTTTCACCTTCTTAGTTTAGCATGTTAGCATGCTAGCATTTGCTAATTAACGCTTAATGTTAAGTACAGCCGAGGCTGATGGGAATCTCATTAGTTTTGCAGGTATTTCATTATAAACCAAAGTCAAACATCTGACTTTATAATGGTGCTGGTTAAAAAAATAGGCGGTCACCAAAATTTATCCTTGGGAAGCCATGAATTTTATGTCAATCCATCGAAGAGATGATGAGATATTTCCAAAAATTACAAAAATTGGCTTGATTCAGTTTCTCAGTTGTAAGAATCTGTTGATTTGTTCTGTTCTTTATCTTTATGCATAGGCGGCACTGGGGGGGAGCTTGGAGGTGCTTCAGCACCCCCAAAGAAGCCCATAGCACCCCCATAGCACCCCCAAGAAATTCTCATTTTTTCACTGTCACTGAATAAAATTGTTTTTGTTCAATTGTGTGACATTATCTGGTGGTCATATTATTAATAGGCTATTTATGAATAGGCTAATGCATCAATTAGCGAATGTACCATAAATAATGTATTATCGGGTGCCTGATAATACATTATTTACGGTAGGTCCTGCCCAAGAGCAGCACCTGACCCCCCGCCAGGTTGAAGTGATTGCGGAAACAGTGTGTCGGGCGCTTTGATGAAAAAATGGAGCGATTCTTGGTCCCTAAGCGGCCTTGTGTGATCAACCAGGATCAACCAATTCAACCAAATAGCAGGAGGACCAAAGATCTGGATGCAGATAAAATCATCAATGCCTTTGCAAGCAATCACAATAACAGACACATCGTTCTCCTGTAAAGACGTCCACACTGTGTGGCCCCTCTAATTCCACAATGTGCATGATTTTTTTGTTGATTTGGACTCTGCATGCTTATATTGGTAGGCTATATCCACAACTCCTTAGCACCTCCAATTAATAGTCAAGCCCCGCCCCCCAATCGTATCACCGAGAAGGTAGCGTGCATCTACCGCTAGCTTATGTAGCACAACTGAGCTAGCTAACATTACAGCTCAGCTGAGGAGGATGCCGTTAATGTTTACATCTCACTCTGTCACATACACAAGCCTCATGTCCATGCATGTTTCTGTTTGCACAGTGATACAGTTGGCAGGTAAAGTTCATTAGAGAGAAAATAGTTCCTACATGGAACTGCTCACAACCAGGTCTGTGGATTTCTTGAATAACCGGGTCATGAAGACACTGCTATTGAGTTTTCATAACAATTTTGTTTTAGCTTTGAGCACCACAAGCCAAGTGCCATCTAGTTCCATTAATACTGGAGAGAAGGCAGACATCTCTACAGCTGAAATCTCCAACACTTGGCAACACACAAAAAACATTTTGTGTGTTTGGAGGTGAACTGTACCTTTAACAGATTAATTTAAAAAAAAATCCAGATGAATGGATAATAAAATAGTTGCTGTTCCCGATAGTCGTCCTTTCAGTTGTTTAGCTCAGGTAAGTATCCTCACAAAAAACTGTCTTGGTTGTTATATAGACATTATGACAGTCATCAGCAGTTTTTGTTGATGAGGGGGAGGAATATGACTTGCTGTATCTCCTACAAAAATATCTGGCACAGCCCAAAATATTTTTCCTCCTGCAGCCTTGGTGACACAATCATTACAAAAGGCATATGTCAACCAAAGAACTCTCCAAAGTAGATTTTGGCTACCTGCAGTCAGCACTTAACAGATCCAGATTCATCTGCACCACATCTCATTCAACATTTCCACAAACTAATTTTACAAACTCAGCTACAACAGATAAATAAGACAGATGGCCCTGCAGGTGTAAAACAGCCCACTCATTCATTCAGATCACATTGTGGCAGTGATAGCACCAATTAGAAACAATGACATTGTGTTTACAATGTAGAATTTGTGTACAGCAGAAAAATGCCAACCTACATTTTAAATGTTACACTCAAAATGACTGCCAACTTAAGTAGCATACTGACCGTCCAGTTGTTGACATCCCCCAAACTTTCTCAGTTCCTGTGGTTTCATTCTGCATCAACCGCTTGCTGAAGCCCAGTCCCATTCTGTCATAGGTACAGACCTGAGCAGTGGGACAAACAGGATCATCACAAGTTTATGGGAATTTTTCAATAACATCATGCTCTCAATAAGGACTCAGCCCCACATTATCCTGTGAAGGTCCTTTAAAAATGCATGATGGCAAAGTAACATTGAAAAATAAGAGGTGGTATACACAGTGCACTGTAAGTTTGTTTTTGTAACTGCTTATGTGATTCAGTTGTTAGGATGTATCTAGGCCCTTTCCCAACAAGCCTGTGACCTCATTTGGGTCACATTTCAGACAAACAACATGGGGCAGGCTGTCAGCCCAGACTTTCTGCTGTACTGAGTCCTTGTTGAGCAGAGAGGACGTGGCAGAGCCACTGCAAGGACTGTCCCTACATGACCCTGACAACAAACAACACTGCTGCATTAGTAGTAACTGACTCTAGACAAAGGTCACCACAGTGGATCTTCTTGGTCAAAGGCAAAAGCAATGTCAGTGTGCTAATTCACCTGCATGAGATATATTCACCTGAGGTATGTTGTTCAGTTCTGATGAGCCCACTTGTTTTAACATAGCCATTCAATACAATTCATGCTAATTGTGTCAGTTCACTCACCGTTGTTAGTGTGGCCACAGTTTCTTGGACATGCAACCAAACATCTGAGGACATTCCAGCTGGTGCATCAAGTATGACTTAAGAAAGGGAAACAAACTGGTTAGGTTGGGCTCAGCAAAACAACACAAACAAGCCTCACAGACATTGAAGCATGTGCCAGAAAATATTCATCCTGTTTCATAACTTAAACGAAAACCAGTCATGGCAGAACATAAAATACTGTCATAAGATTTATTACCAGCTGGTTGTCCTTTTCCTTTACACAAAAGGTGCATCTTTTGACCCAAACCAACATCAACAATCTGGCCATCTGGATGTAAGAGGGAAAAGGACAGAAAAACAACAGACTTTGAAAACTTAACAGAAAAAAGTACTGACAGTCTCCCACTAGAGACAGTCTAATCAACACATTTAATTAATATATTAAAAAAGTTTTTTAAGTTGATATGAAATCAATTTGAAAGAGCAATGACTTTGCCTAAGATAAGAGTACCTTTAGGCATGAGCATCTGTCCTTCTCTCTGCAGCGATGCATAGTTGAGGAAGGGAGGGACGAAGATAATCAAGAGTAAACACTTTCCAATTGTCATGAGCACAGAGCCGTAAGACGCTCTGCCTTCAGTTACAGCTTGGCTGTGCAATTTTTTATCCCGATCCTAATTCATGTAGAAAAGAAAATGCAATGTTAAGTCACACATTGACCTGTTGGAAAACATTCATATTTTTTTACATACAGTATATATTCATACATACGTTCCAACTGTACATGTATGATATCATTTCAGCAATTTCAGTTTCCTTGTCCTGCGATAATATTCGGTTGTTATCACAACCCTAAAGGTTGCATGAGGGTATCAGGGTGACCATAGTGTGTTGTGGTAGACGATTAATCTTTCCCCAGGTAACTGACATATATCGTTGTTGTTTTATTGCTCTGGATGCATGCCGAATTAAAGAACAGTTACTAACATTTGTTACAAAATGATTCCGAAGAGGTTTAGGGGTGAGTGAGCTGTGAATACGCAAAAAGGTGTTAAAATCGCAGTTTTTTGAAGGACATTCGGCTATTCTTCTCTGGGTAGAAAACTGGGGGATAATGTCGCATACTGTGTCATACTCCAGATAAAGTTAGCAGTGTAAGATCAGTATAAGAGCAGGAAAACGTCAATAGCAGCCCTTTATCTGAAAGAACTAGGACTGGCGAACAGATTAACTATTTGCTTTTGGAGTCAGTCAGCTAATGTTGGCTAACAGAGCTCTGCTGTCACATGTACAGTAGCTATCAGCAGCTGGGTGTCGTTAACGTTGCATTACCTTTTTATCATCATTGACACGTTCATTGTTTGATGCTTGAGCTTCCGTTCTTCTACGCATTATGAAACGAGGTGTTGTATTCAGCTGTAATAGTTCACAAACTGTGCAGAATCATGTACACAATGAATGAAATAGTAGCAACTTCCTGGTGGAAGTACAGATGCCGACAGGAAACAAACTTTCCCTTGCGCGTTGCGCTGCTGTTACCATCTACCACAGCACATTGTGCTCAATGTGTACTTTAACATTTATCAGTCTTTTCCTTACTGTTATTTATGAATTACCTTACTTTTATATTTACAGCTCATATTCCTAGTTGTGTTTACTGACGTCCTTTTAATTCATTTCACTGTCAAAACGAATAAATCAAGTTTTAATGTCATCAATAATTTTTTAATGTTGTCAATTACTGTATATTTAATACTGTATGTACTGTATATTTAATATTCATAACATCTGGTTGTTTTACCTCTACAGTAGGCTATATATCGTTCTGCCTGGCATACACATGATAACAGCAGTACAACTACTGGCCTGCAGGAGTCACTGTATCCTACAAACCAATCCTATATTCTACATCACAATGTATTGCACTCAACAGCGAACACAGCGGGGTTAACATTACATGGGCTCATTATCAACATTTATATAATGCCCTAATATAAACTACAGGTCAATGACTAAACACATGGAAAACTTAGACTGCATCTTAATATAACCAAATGACGATAATCAGGAATTGGGGCTGTGATTGCATGTCCTCTACTCCTCTCAGAACAAACACTCATCATGTATGATAACACATTTATGGTGGGCACGACAGCTGCTACCGAGACAAGTAATATATGCAAATTGCTGTTTTTATGCAGTCATACATGTGTGGCGCGTCAAAGAGTGCTGGTTTGCGTCATTCGGGGACTGTGACATCCATACTAATGAATTCTGCATCATTCACACAGACTTTCACACAGCACTTGTTGTGAATTGGGCCTGCAGTTTGGCTGTGCTCCACGTCTGTAATCACCCACACATTTCACACCCCAGGGAGACATCAGATAATAAAGCCTAATGGTTTTAGGAAAAGATTCAAGTTGTAGGCAACAACAGAAACACGTCATCAGAGAGGGAATATGAGACCTTATTTTCGTTTTCATTCACAATCCTGAGTCCAGTAGCTGTAAAGATGCATTTATTTTATTTTTTTATATTTAACATTCACAATAGAGAGTACAAAGCCAGACTGCCCAGACTATTTATCCAGTAAATTTGTGTCTGTGTGAAGCAAAACCTTAACAATAAAGCCTGTTTAGATAGCAGGTGACTGGTGACTGGAGCCATGTAGGGAATTCATTGCAGTAATTAAAAAGCCCGGCTGGACCGAAATGATGAATGTCAGGTATTGACTCACTGTCAGGCTGGTTGTTTGTGTATATGTGCGTGTGTGCGTATGTGTTGTTTTTGTTTCAGGGTATCCAGGGTTGATTAAAGCTAATGACGCAGGGCCTTCTCTGCCTCTTGCTTCTGTTCCAGCTCTGCATAATTAGGATTGAGAGGAGGATGGTCTAATCAGACAAGTGTGGCTTCTCTCTGCAGTTTGTGAATGCCATTCAAACGGCAGTCTCTCGGCCCTTGACTTCTATGTGGCCTGTCAGTCTTTACAGCGATGAACAAAACACACAGGTCGTTTGCTGGCTGCCTCCTGTGGGAAATCAAAGACAACTCGTTCCATCAAAGATTTGGACTTAATAACAAGATTCGCCACAGTAACAGAAAAAAAACTCCGGTGATGCATGATGTCCTTGACTGCTGGGCTAAAGGTTGGTATTTGTCGTTTGTCCCTTGGATTACCGGTGCAGAGTTCAGGGCTTTACACATCTCTGATTGTTGACAAAGCTCTAAATCATACCCATGGAATCCAGCAGTGATTGAACCCTGAGGTTGTCAGACATGACCTGCTATGCTTTTGTATGATTGCTTTCTTTTTCAAATACACTTTCCCTCTATTCCCTCTGTAACACATTCTGTAAAAAAAATCTGTAATATTTCTACAATATCCCTTTAGGGATTTACAGTGCATTTGCTGTCCTGTTGTATTTACAGTGACCTTTAATCAGTAGTATTATTAAAATCATCTCTTGTATCAGTGTAATCACGTAAAGGTCCAGTATGTAGGATTTAGGGAGCTATATTGACAGGAATTGAATATAATATAGTAAGTATGTTTTCTTAAGTGTATTCTCACTTGAAAATAAGAATTGTTGTGTTTTTGTTACCTTAAAATGAGGCATTTTTATCTACATAGGGAGCGGGTCCTGCTATGGAGTCCACCATGTTGCTCAGCCATGTTTCTACAGTAGCTCAAAATGGACAAACCAAACACTGGCTCTAGATAGGGCCATTCCGGTTTTCATGTCAGTCACTGTAGTTAGTATCCCCTCTGCAACGAGCAGTGTTGGAAAAAGACAGATATTTTTAAATGTGAAACTGCTTTCAGGTGGATTTATACTTGAGTGTCAGCTCTATGCAAAGCCTACGCTGTTGTGAGCATTTATACTTGCGCTGGTGTGTCTGTCACTCTGCAGTTACACCTCCAAAACGGTAGTTGGCAGTGGAGTTTTGTTAGATAGTTGATTCAAAACACGCCAAACACACATTAAACATGGCTTAATAGTGACATTTTCAAACCCAAGTACACAAATCGGCTTCACTATAACTAGCAACATCTACAGACAAAGCACTTGTCGTTTTCTGGACACATTTTCCCCACAAATATAACATGCTAATGTTATTAGCATAAGCCAATGGCCTTTTACACTGTGTAAAATAACCTAGTGGCTAGCGAAGATTTCCCCTTATCATACGAAGCCAGGGACAACAGCAGCATTTAACAAAGGTAACGTTACAAAATTTGGCTCCATTACAACTCACACAGTTCAAAGACACATTTCCCTAACCATTACAATATGCTAACATTATTAGCACAAGCCTATGGCATTTTGCATTGTATAAATTAGCCTAGCGACTAGCAGAGATTTCCTTTACTCATATGAAGCCAGGATAAATCACACACAGGACTTAAAATAGGGACTTTTCTGTGAAATAAAGGTGAATAAAAGCTTTGTTTCCACTTAGGGAATTGGTTTTCAGCTTACAAAATACACAGCAGGTCTGCATCATTACAACATGTACTTACATTTTTGGGAAGGGCAGGTCAGGCCACAGCATACTGTAGGTTACGGCGTTGTGTCTGCATTGATGCAGAACCTACATCATACTGTGGGTACAGCCTTGATTCGATGCAGAAGTATAAATCCCTCAGGAGTCAGTGTTTTTAGTGGTTTAAACCTTAAAGTCAGTTTGTTTTGGAGAGGAAGAGCCCTCAGTGGATATTTTGAATCTTAACTTTTCAGAGAACTTTTCAGAGAAAAAAAGGTGAGCGGACATTAGCAGGTGTTGGGCTCGCAGCTTGTCTCCGATGAGCCAAACTGCATCGCAGAAACACTGATTGGTGACAAGAGAATGCTTTATTCAGTGTTTTTACCAGTTGAAATCACCAGGTCAGGTTGATTTGGAGAGCAAAAGACTTCTGCAGATAATTCCACTCTTGGTAAATACCTTCAACGTCTGGATCAGAAAAAAGGTTTTAGCAGGTGCTTGTCACAGAGACGCTGAACAACATTGCAGAAACATTGATTTGTAATGTGAAACTGCTTTATTCAGTGTTTTTACTGGTTTTAATCATTTGGCCCATTTGTTTTGAAGGGGAAAAAACCTCTGCAAAAATTTCAGCTCCCAGTAAAAACCTTCTGAACAGTGAACACTGAGGAAATTCTAACCGGAAGAAGTTTCAGCTAGTTGTGATCTGCAGTCCTCATTGCTAGATGCCACTTAAGCCCCTTAAATCTTACATGCTGAACCTTTAAATATAGTTATGTGATGATGTTTGTGAGTAAACTGCTCTTCATAAAAAGGGTGCTGTAGTTTCTATTTGTTTGGCATTAACATAATGTCCTTTAGCGCCCACGGAACAAGAAGAGAATGTTCTTTATAGTTGGCTGTGTACACACTGCTATTCTAATTAGACATTACTCATATAGAACATCTGCCCCCAAGACCCATGTAACATCTTCACACCCATGGTGCACAGAGATGAAAAGCCATTCCCTCAGTGCCAGGTCACCTTGACACCATCTTTGCCATTTGTGCCATGTCTGGAGGCAGCAGCCATTTTTAAGGCGTCGCTTCATCCCCCTCAGCCTTGACATTCAGCACACAATGCATTTCATCCTTAGTTACAGGGCACCTTTCCCACACAACGGATATGGGATAGGACAGCCAGTAAAAATGAAGATCAGAGCCTGAGTCTGAGTGCAAATAATAATCAATTATTTTGACATTTCTCACATGCCTGTGCTTCCCAGGCCAGTTTCAGCTCCCCCCAACAAATGCTACTCACTTTTGCCCTTTGCTTGATCTCAAGCCACGAAAATTGGTTTCTGAGGTAAATCACATCACAGCGAAGCATCGGCACACAAGCAGGAGACTTTACTACATGTACATGAAATCAAATGGTAATTGAGATAGCATGGCAGGCGGATAAAAAAGCCATTTCCTGTTTGTCTTATCTGTTTTGTCACATAGAGCAGGTTAACCAGGTGACATTTCCGCACTGGGCTATCTTTATCACCAAAGGCCATCACCAAATTCTGCTGCGGCATTCATATCTCACAACATGTTGGCTTGCCTTTATTAAATCCACCTGACTCAATGGTGGTATGATGTTCCAGAGCTCCATCTCAAAGGGAAATCTTGTGTTAAACAGAGGCTGTGGCTTTTAGCAGCTCTGGGGATGGCAATGTCAGTCGTCAGTCCACCACTTTGGTCCAGACTGAAATATCTTAACAACTATTGAATGGATTACCATGATATTTTGTACGGACATTTTTGCCTAGCGGACATTAATCCCCTGACAATTCCTCTAGTGCCACCATGAGGTTAACATATGTGGTTTTTAATTAAGTAACTCACCACCAATTGATGGATTGCCAAAAGATATAGTATAGACATTCATGTTCCCCTTAGGATGAATTGTGATAACTTTTCTAATTTGTCCTTGGTTTATGATGAGGTACTTACAAAACCA